ATCTGAACCAATCATAAACGTCTATGTTTGGTTCAGATTTGGTGCGGTACAGACCGGCCTTGATTTGGCCCAAACATAGACATATATAAATGACTTATTTTCAACTTTCATTCAGAACCGAAAATGAACCTGATTTCAACATCCGGAAAAGATGCCTTTTCAGTGTCATGGAAAATATGTTTAACATATGGAGAAAAAAAAGTATTTTAAACATATGGAAAATACCTTTTCACCTTTCATTCAGAAGCTAAATTGAACCTAACTTCAACGTCTGGAAAATACGTATTTTAGATATCTTTTCAACGTCATTTTGCTTACTGGGACTATTCTAGTTTTGTGGGAGGCAGCATTTTTTGGTCTTGTGTATGGCAGCAGAACGGCAAGGACCGGCCCTGGTTGTATCCCCCATATACATAACATTGTATTGGTTGCAATAATTTTGTATAATAATAAAAATGTATAAACTGAAAGTTTTGAATCCAGCGATGTTTTGCATATCAGTTCATAAACTATGTGCCTTGGAATCGGCACATGGAAAATCTCTTACCAACTATTTTGCAACCTGTATGGCACAGCTTACATTTTTTTGGTCCTTAAATGGAACTGGTATACTTTTTAATTTATCACAATTTCTTTTAACACATTTTAGACTTTAACCTCTTAAGGATCGGAGCCTTTTTTTCAATTTTCGCCTAAAATGACATACCCAAATCTGACTGCCTGTAGCTCAGGCCCTGAATCAAAGATATGCATATTCTTGATACCATTTGAAAGGAAACACTTTGCAGTTTGTGGAAATGTGAAATTATTGTAGGAGAATATAACACATTAGATCTGGTAAAAGATAATACAAACAAAAAAACATGCGATTTCTATTGATTTTTTTGTTGCATCATCTTCGAAATACAAGAGAAAGGCCACAATATAATTTTGCAGTTTAAGCGCAATTTAGATTTTTAGCAGTGTGTGGCAAAATTTCAGATTGATCCAGTGAAGCATTGCAATACTGGACTATTTTGTATCAAGTCTGCCCAAATGTGCCGAATTGGTCAATTGATACATTTTCAAGTACATAACTATAGAGAACATACAAAATGTAAGTTCGCACACTCCCAGGAATGTCGTACATGATGGATCATTAGCTTATTCACTAACCTTCACACATCTAGATGGCCGGGTGGGGTGGGTGTGGAGCCAGAGACAGCAGGGGTTCAAACCGTAGAACCCAGTCCCTACATTTGAATATAAAAATTGATTTTATTAAACAAAACTATGCTACATTTTATCTCTGGGACCCTTAGGATGACAAATCAGAGCAAGATTACTGAATGTAAGTACATTATTTACCTTCAGAGGTGAATGTATAAACCAGTTGCCGTGATAAGTTTTTTGTTGTTGTGCACTCTCCTCAAACAATTGCATGGTCTATTTCACTGCAATAGCTACTGTAAATTGGACAGTGCAGTTAGATTAACAAGAATTTAAGCTTTCTGCCCATATGTCTATGTCCTGGAAAGTTTGCTGTTACTTACAACAGTCATGCTAATCACATTAGCACACGTTAGCTCAACCGTCCCGTATACGGGACACCGATCCCGTAGAGGTTAATGCAGGGCTGACAGACAAGTTCCTTAGCTTCTCCCCCTTTTTGTGCAGTGACATAACTCCACCAGTCCTATTTATGATATCATAAACAAAGTTTTAACCATTTAATTTGTTATTTTTTGTATTTATAAATTATTTATTTTTTAAATAAATTAGTATATTTGGGTTTAGCCATAATATTTGTTGTAATATTGGTACTGTATTTTCTGGTGGATTAAACAGAAATTGCAACCAGCTTTCTATGGGTTGTTCTAAAGATAGCAATATTTTGGAGATGATTTCATTTTCAAATAACCCGAAAGTGAGACGTTGTAATCTGAACAAAGGGAAAGAGGCAATTTTTTTACACGGGGTGAGCCATTTTTACTAATCTCTCGGAGAACCAGTTCGGATTGAAGTGTAACTTTTGTATGAACGGGAGTTAGCATTTACTTCTTCTAAACCTGAAAACATATAAATGTTGTGCTGCGAAAACAGCCAAATATATCAAAATCGGATTTAAGTAACCACATTGTGGGCCTGTTACAATACATAAATCATGATGGAGTTGAGGAATATCCAATTTGTTAGTACAGATTTGTTGCCTGTGCGCCAATATGGTCAATGGAATGGTCTGCGTTCCATTTAATCCTTTACCACATCTATTGTGGCTCACATTGTTGTGCTGTGGTGATGTCACCAGGCCCAGAACTGCCAAGAGTTGATTTCACTTATTCTGGAATGTTCAGGTTTTTACTGACTGATGTAATTATCATTTTGGTTTATATGATAAAAAGCTTGTGGTTTAATTATAATACACCATATGAAAAGCACTCTATTTTTTGGGTTATTTTAAGTCTGCAAATTACCCCCTAAAACTTTGTAAGATATTTTATAACCTGTTACATATCAAATATATCTCCTTGACTTCATAATTTTGAGGTTTATATGATAAAAAAGCTTGTGGTTTCTTAAAGTACACCATATATTAAAATCACTTCATGAGCAAATTACCCTCTCAAATTATGTAAGATATCCACACAAAACATCCCCTAAAGCAACTGTCATTTTTGCCTCTCATCTAGATGCAATCGTATACTATTGTGTATAATAGTTTGATCTGTTTATATTTTGTCAGTCAATCAATCGAAAGGTTATCACTGTAAAGGTTATCACTGTAAAGGTTATCACAGTAATGTTTATCAATCGAAAGGTTATCATTGTAATTGTCATACATTTTTCCACCCTCTAGTGGAAATTCTGAAAAAGCCAGATGCTTTACGGAGTGATTGATGTAAATATGGTGTTAGTACTCTATTGACTTGAATCTCCTTAGAAGAATGTGGAGTGTGTAATGTCTGTTCCTGTCTTCCGTGTCTGTAGATCCGCAGCTGCAGCCAGCCATCCCTCAGACCTACAGCTCTCAGCCTGAGCCTGCGTCTGTTCCCTCTGCTGCTGCTGTACCACCACCCAGTGGAGGGGTAAGGAATAACACTGAGAGCAGTGCATGTGTGCAGTACATCACTATATGATGTCATACAGTATAGTCCACTGTTCTTTGTCTTCCTCTCTGTATGCTCTGAGCAGCAATGGTAGGAGCGTTTTTATGATTTTTTGTAGTGGTGATATGTTCTGCTTAACTCTGTAGTGTGTGTACACGTGTTTGTAGAGGTAACACCCACACAATTCTGTAGCACTATGTTGATGAATGTGTGTTTGAGTGTGGTGTGCATGCATGGACATACAGTATGTCCCCATATGTGTCTACAGAACCGCTACCGGGCTATGTACAGCTACACGGCTGCCGACGCTGACGAGGTGTCTCTCCAGGAGGGCGACCTGATTGCAGACGTACAACAGATAGATGAGGGATGGATGTATGGCCGCATCGAACGCACTGGGCAACAGGGCATGCTACCTGCTAACTACGTCCAACGCCTCTGAACCCCTGGGCCTCGTTCAATTGGTTGAAATGTTCAGAACACTGCAGACAGAAATGTAAACATGGGTTGTGTTCATTAGGCACCAAACAGAAGAAAATGGATTGAAAGAAGGTGTGACTACCCGTACGTGTCCAATAAGAAACACTCAATTTAGTTTTTCATTGCAAAACGTTTTTAAAACCCTTTCTGTTGCATGTCATAATGAACAAAACCCAGGTTGAAGGTTATGGCTGTCTTACCATGGGGAGTACAGAATAGTGTCCTCTCTAGGTTGTACTTATCTATCTGCAACGTTCAGTGTTTCATTCCACTGCTGAACTTAGTCCAGGAGAAATGGGGAGAAAAACATGGGAAACAAGTCACAGCCTAAAGAGAGGGAGAGGAGGAGGGAGGGAGGGAGGGAAGGAAGAGAAAAGAAAACAACTAGTGCCATTTTGACTTGAATATTGTCTCCGACCATGTTTTTGCTCATATGGTCTATTATTCACAATTTTAGAAAAGTCGATTGATTTAGCTAATAAAGCTTCTCACTGCCATTTTCAGTACACAGTCCACTATCGGACAGCTTAATACTACTACACCGAAATAGTTTTAAATGTCTATGTCTTTCTTGCATCTATTAGGCAGTGTACAGTATAAAATTGAATGGTGGCTGCCATACTTCCAAGTCATTCCCCAAAATGTATGAATTATTCCGAAATGTTGCATAAAGTTGGAAAGTTTAGGATCGGCTTCCAGTTGACAATTGTACATTTTAGATATTTCTAGAATTTAGAACCTAGGGGGCTTCTGTGTTAGTACTTGTTAGCATACTGTATCTACTAACTAGTACCTGTTAGAATACCTACCGGTCGGTATCTACTGATTACCATAGTTACACTAATTAGCAGCACCTGGTTTGGGCTGGGCAGAAACAGGTGTGCGCAATTAGTAATCAATCAATGGTATTTTATTAGGATCCCCATTAGCTGTTGTGAAAGCAGCAGCTGCTCTTCCTGGGGTCCACACCAAACATAATATAGAACATTAATATGTAAGCACTCGAGGACAGAACTAATGATGTCCTAAAAGAGCAGTGCAGTATATACAAAAGATACTTAATTGGTGGTGTGATACAGCTTGACAGAAACAAATAATTCAATCATTTTATCATTCACAAGGATTCAAGGGTGTTTTATAATAGTTTGAAAAATGTAATATGTATGATTTATATTATTCAATTCTAAGTTGTGCAATGAAGCATTCAAATTCATTATTTTGAGTAAAACATTGAATATTTCAGAATGTCATTATTTTTCTTACATACCCAAAGAGTACCCTATGTGCCAGAATGTCTCTGCTTCTGCTTTAGAAAGCGAACTTGTCGTTAATGCAGCAATGTCAAATCTAGCCAATCTTGCAAGCTTTCTTTGAAATCTTGCGCCAGCCAATGTGTAGCTATCAAGAGGGACTATTTCAATGGCTGCATTTGGACAGGCAGCCCAATTCTGACATTTTTTTCACTAATTGGCCTTTTGATTAGAATCGGGTTGCCTGTCTAAACACAGCCTATGTAGCTAGCATTGTTGAATATAGAACCAGTCAGGTACCCAGTCTACCCAAAGAGTAGGCTTTGAATAGAGCACATCTAACAATAACATTTTAATCAGCAACATTTTATTAGTCAACATTAAAAGATACAATACAACAACCTTATTTTCCAATGTTTTCATTTTGTCAAGTTAATTGGGCTGCTATTGATGATTGTACATCAATTGCAAAAAAAACTGCATTTACAACACTTATTTTTGCCAAATATCCAATTAAAGAATGTTATTTACAAGGGTCTTACTACCTGTAGCCATCTCCCATTCAAACCTGTGTGAGGAGAGCTGAATGGTCATAGAAAAAGACAGTTTAAAGCACCAATGAGACTCATTTCCTAATTAACTTTAGAAAAGTGAAATTAACAAGTTTTTCAGATAAAAACAAATAGAATACCACACTTAAACACAACAGTCAATAAAACTTAAGTCATGTAATATATTGGTATACTGTAATATATCTAAAATATATAGATCAAGTAAATATACTGTCAATCTAAAACCAGGTCCAACTGTTTTTTATTTTCCTGGTTTGGGCCTATCCTGAAGAAGGACACTCTCTTGTCCACAGTCTCCTGTAGTTTGGGGGGCAGCCATGAAAGCTGCTCTTGCAAAACATCAGCGTTACGTCCTATGCAGTCTTCACATAATCTATAAAGAGAAATTGAAGTACAGGTTAGTTAAAACATCAACAGAAAACCAGGTGCTGGAAACTAAAAAGTGTGTTGTTCTTTATCTGGGTAAGGCTTCAATAGTTGGTTTTAAGTTGACTGTTTCATGTTAAACATGTCAAATCTCTATATTGCACATTTACAGTAAGGTTAATTTTTGGTTAAGCTCTTTATAAAAATCAGCACTACGTCACAGTGGTAAAGCACAGCGAAATCCCACAACACTAAAACACTGGCGCAACAAGTAACGTTCGGATCAAAGTCGGAGTATAAATAGCACAACATGCTCAAACGGTCACTGTGGACTTTGTTAAACCACTTAGTCATGTGTGGTTGGGAATGGACCAACACGCACACACACTTGCACAGCTGACTACTGTGGTCACAGATGTACAACAGTTATGTAGCGGTATGTCTTTATGTAGCATTGTTCCTAGATTATTGCTATGCTGATTTGTCCTGGTATCAGTGGTTAAAAATGATAATATAACACCAAAGGCGAGTGAGTATATTCCCATATTAAAAAGAGACATCACAATCCAAAATCAAAGTTTGCCAGTTGTTTTCAGACCTCAAAATTGGTCCTGTTGAGATAACTCCACGTCCCAAGCCCTCTTTTGTAGATTCAGCTATGATATGCCACTATCCAAAATGAAAGGAAAATATATAAGCACCATGTCGTTTCCAGATTAGAAGTACTTATTTTTTTCCATTCATTTGAGAGTATAGCTGGACCTACACAACCGATGGCGTGGGATATGGACTCATCTTTACATTAGGCTACTTTTGCAGTATATCGGCAGGTTCGTTTTTATATCGCACACATGTGTGGCTTACCTGAGGAGGGGGTATGGCTGGGTCTGGAAGACTAGAACATCTTTGCAGTGGTTCTGTGATGGAGACCTCAAAATATTGACCTGAAAGCAGAGGGTTGGTAACATAGTAGTGTGATGGATGGATGGATGGATTGATGGAGGGAGGGTATGTAGTGACATCATAACAACCCCAGTGAGGCAATACCATATTAAGCCTAAGCCCAAACATTGCAGTCGCTCGACTAGGTTCTTATGTGCTGGGTCATGTTTTAAGTCCATTCATGATCCATACAGTCCATACAAGTCCACCTCACACCTAAGCAGTTGCGTTGGAAATCGCCTTAACTCCATTTGAGCTTTGTTTGCGTCACAAAGTCTAAACCAGCTAAAGTTTTGTCTACTTAGAGAATGATTATAAGGCCCCTAAACAAAATGTTAAATAGGGAACGATATGTTTTAAAAGGTATGTGTGCCATAATCCATGGCTGTTTGAGAAACGTGTCGTTTCAGAAGTTTCCCCATAGAAAAAGCATTCCTTGTGTTTGTGGCTTGGTTAAAAATACATTCTCCTTTCAAATATTTCACAAGGAAATGTAATGTTGTTTGCCACTTGAATAGACAAGGCTCTTTATTGTATGGAATATAGCTAGAGGACTCCTGATATCTCCAGGAGTGATAAATATAATTTGTTTTGTCTTTATCTGTCGGTCTATTACTGTCATTTTGCTAGTTTTGTCGCAAAACTAAGACCGTCGCCGAAACAAAGACTGTTCTGCGGAGTTATTCAAGGAAAGAGAGGAGGACTTCACACCGCTCTCTCACTTGAGTATCTTACCTAGTCATTTACAGATTCTCATTTTGCTCTTTTGTAGCTTTGTCAACTATGTGTGTTTTCTATACCTGTTCGCACCTCTCCCTGTAGGCTTTACAGACGCTCCCCACCCCTTGTCTGCAACCCTCCTAATTGAGTGTACCCTGCACGCACAACCCATGTGGAATTCCGGGTCTCTGGCAGTGTTTGGAACTGCCGATCTGCGGTCAAGAACGCAGAGTTCATCTCAGCATATGCTACCCTTCAGTCCCTTGACTTTTTGGCCCTGACGGAGACATGGATCACCCCAGAGAACACTGCTACTCCAGCTGCTCTTTCTTCATCTGACTATGTTTTCTCTCATAGTTCGAGAGCATCTGGTCGTTGCGATGGTGGCACAGGTCTAGTCATTTCTCCTAAGTGGAGATTTTCTCTTTTCGTCCATCTCCTCATTTGAATTCCATGCTGTCACTCACTTGTCCACTCAAGCTTAACATTACTGTCGTCTATCGCCCACCATGTGCCCTTGGAGAGTTCCTCAATGAGCTTGACACCTTGATAAGCTCATTTCCTGACGATGGCGACTTCAACATTCTGACATCTGCCTTCAATTAATTTATTTCCAACTCTATTTCCCCTCCTTGCCTCTTGACCTAGACATTGACCTCACCCTTTCCCAATCTCCTCCAACTCACAAGGCAGGCAATACGCTTGACCTCATCTTTACTAGAGGCTGCTTGCCTACTAATCTCACAGTAACCCCCCTCCAGGTCTCTGATTACTACTTTGTTTCCTTTTCGGTCTCCCTTTCCTCTAAACCTAACCACTCAGCCCCTACCCAGATGGTCATGCGCCGTCACAATCTTTGTTCTCTCACTACTCTCCCCTCTTCCATCCTATAATCTCTCCCTTCTGCTAAATCCTTCTCTCTTCCATCTCCTGATTCTGCCTCTTCGACCTTACTCCTCCCTTTCCGCATCCTATGACTAACACTGTCCCCTTTCCTCCCGGCCGGCTCGGCTCTCCCCTCCTGCTCCGTGGCTGAGTGACTCATTGCAAGCTTACAGAACAGGGCTGCGGGCAGCTGAGCGAAAATTGAGGAAAACTAAACTATCATCCTTTCACTCCCTCCTCTCTACCTCTGCTAAATGCACTTTCTTCCACTCTAAATCTCAAGATTCTGCCTCTAACCCTAGGAAATTCAGCCTATTGAGTCCACTGGTCTCACTCACACAGAACTACCCTACACCTTGACCTTTTTCTCCCCTCTCTCTCCAGATGACATCCTGCGACTAGTGAGGTCTGGGCGCCAGCCAACCTGCCCGCTCGACCCCATCCCCTCCTCCAGACCTTCTCCCATTCCTCACTTCCCTCATCCCTGACCACTGGCTGTGTCCCCCCTGACTTCCAAATGGCCCGAGTTGCTCCCCTCCTCAAGAAACCAACACTTATCTGATGTCAAAGACTATAGACCTGTATCCCTTCTTTCTTTTCATTCCAAAACACTTGAGCATGCGGTCTCTGATCAACTTTCTTGTTATCGCTCTCAGAACGATCTTCTTGACCCTACCCAGTCAGGCTTCAAGACTGGTCACTCAACCGAGACTGCTGTTCTCTGTGTCACAGAGGCTCTCCGCACTGCCAAAGCTGACTCTCTCTCTCTCCTCTGTTCTCATCCTCCTCGATCTATCCGCTGCCTTTGACACCGTGAACCATCAGATCCTCCTCTCCACCCTCTCAGCGCTGGGCATCTCAGGCTATGCACACTCTTCGATTGCATCCTACCTGGCAGGCCGCTCCTACCAAGTGTTGTGGAGAGGATCTGTCTGCAGCACGTACTCTCACTACTGGTGTCCCCCAGGTCTCGGTTCTAGGCCCTCTCTTTTCTAAATACACCAAGTCACTCGGCTCCGTCATATCCTCAAATGTTCTCTCCAATCATTGCTATGCGGATGACCCGCAACTTATTTTCTCCCCCCCCCCCCCTTCTGACACCCAGGTGGCGACACGCCTCTCTGCGTGACTGGCAGATATCTCAACTTGGATGTCGGCCCACCACCTCAAGCTCAACAAGACAGAACTGCTCTTCCTCCTCGGGAAGGCCTGCCCGCTCAAAGACCTCTCCATCACGATTGACAACTCCACAGTGTCACTGTCCCAGAGTGCAAAGAACCTTGGTATGACCCTGGACAACACCCTGTCGTTCTCTGCAAACATCAAAGCAGTGACCCGCTCCTGCAGGTTCATGCTCTACAACATCCGTAGAGTATGATCCTACCTCACACACGAAGCGGCACAGGTCCTAATCCAGGCACTTGTCCTCTCCCTTCTGGACTACTGCAACTCGCTGTTGGCTGGGCTCCCCGCTTGTGCCATCAATCTCCTGCAACTTATCCAGAACGCAGCAGCCCACCTGGTTTAACCATCCCAAGTTCTCTCATGTCACCCCGCTCCTCCGCACACTCCACTGGCTTCCAGTTGAAGCTCGCATCCACTACAAGACCATGGTGCTTACCTACGGAACAGCAAGAGGATCTGCCCCTCCCTACCTTCAGGTTCTGATCTGCCACCTCAGGTCTCTTGGCCCTCTCACCCCTACGGGAAGGCAGCTCCCGCTCAGCCCAGTCCAAGCTCTTCTCTGTCCTGGCACCACAATGGTGGAACCAACTTTCCTCTGAAGCTAGGACAGCAGAGTCCCTGCCCATCTTCTGAAAACATCTGAAACCCTACCTCTTCAAACAGTATCTTAAATAATCCTCCTCCTCATCTTGACCCCCCCCCCCCCCCCCATTTTTTATTTGATTTAAAACAAAACAGTTAAACATCATCTATCAAGCTAGAGAATGTGAAAAGCATCCTTAAATACTTATTTTTCCCCAGTGTAGACTTATACGTACCGAGTCCATCAGGAGGACGTAGTCTCGGCTCCCCCCGAAGACAACCACATCACTATCCTTGCCCCGACATGCCGAATGCCACAACCTATGGAGGTACACAATGTTCAGACAACAACTTTTAGTGTTGGAAGATAAAAAAAATTATATATCTATTTTTCTCTTAGGGGGTAATCAGCTTTAATATTGCAGATAGATTGTAACTTCCATCAATGTAATTGTCTACATCACTTCCAATCCCCCATGTTTTTTTCACACACACTTCTTTTTTTACATTTATTTTCCTTTATTACTTTCCAACCCCACCACCCCTCCCCTAATTGGAGTAAATAACAACGCTTATGCCACTACTTCCATCTTATACATACTATATACTTTTTATGGACACAGTCAATTTTACAATGATTCTATTTTGTTACTTTTTACTCCTGAACTTCCTCTACCCTCAATCTCTCCTATCATTTTCATGATGTCCATCCGGTTTGCCTCTACATGCCATATCCCCCCCCTCCCCCCTCCCCCAAACTGTGCTCTTTCACAAAAGTTCTCAACCTACAGTTGAAGTCGGAAGTTTACATACACCTTAACCAAATACATTTAAACTCAGTTTTTCACAATTCCTGACATTTAATCCTAGTAAAAATTCCCTGTCTTAGGTCAGTTAGGATCACCACTTTATTTTAAGAATGTGAAATGTCAGAATAATAGTAGAGAGATTGATTTTTTTCAGCTTTTATTTCTTTCATCACATTCCTAGTGGGTCAGAAGTTTACATACACTCAACTAGTATTTGGTAGCATTGCCTTTAAATTGTTTAACTTGAGTCAAACGTTTTGGGTAGCCTTCCACAAGCTTCCCACAATAAGTTGGGTGAATTTTGGCCCATTCCTCCTGACAGAGCTGGCGTAACTGTGTCAGGTTTGTAGGCCTCCTTGCTAGCACACGCTTTTTCAGTTCTGCCCACAAATGTTCTATAGGATTGAGGTCAGGGCTTTGTGATGGCCACTCCAATACCTTGACTTTGTTGTCCTTAAGCCATTTTGCCACAACTTTGGAAGTATGCTTGGGGTCATTGTCCTTTTGGAAGACCCATTTGTGACCAAGCTTTAACTTCCTGACTGATGTCTTGAGATGTTGCTTCAATATATCCACATAATTTTCCTTCCTCATGATGCCATCTATTTTGTGAAGTGCAGCAGTCCCTCCTGCAGTAAAGCACCCCCACAGCATGATGCTGCCACCCCCGTGCTTCACGGTTGGGATGGTGTTCTTCGGCTTGTTCCTTATTCCTCCAAACATAACGATGGTCATTATGGCCAAACAGTTCTATTTTTGTTTCATCAGACCAGAGGACATTTCTCCAAAAAGTACGATCTTTGTCCCCATGTGCAGTTGCAAACCGTAGTCTGGCTTTTTTATGGCGGTTTTGGAGCAGTGGCTTCTTCCTTGCTGAGCGGCCTTTCAGGTTATGTCAATATCGGACTCGTTTTACTGTGGATATAGATACTTTTGTACCTGTTTTCTCCAGCATCTTCACAAGGTCCTTTGCTGTTGTTCTGGGATTGATTTGCAGTTTTCGCACCAAAGTATGTTCATCTCTAGCAGACAGAACGCGTCTCCTTCCTGAGCGGTATGACGGCTGCGTGGTCCCATGGTGTTTATACTTGCATACTATTGTTTGTACAGATGAACGTGGTACCTTCAGGCGTTTGGAAATTGCTCCCAAGGATGAACCAGACTTGTGGAGGTCTACCATTTTTTTTCTTGGGTTTTGGCTGATTTCTTTTGATTTTCCCATGATGTCAAGCAAAGAGACACTGAGTTTGAAGGTAGGCCTTGAAATACATCCACAGGTACACCTCCAATTTACTCAAATGATGTCAATTAGCCTATGAGAAGCTTCTAAAGCCATGACATCATTTTCTGGAATTTTCCAAGCTGTTTAAAGCCACAGTCAACTTAGTGTATGTAAACTTCTGACCCACTGGAATTGTGATACAGTGAATTATAAGTGAAATAATCTGTCTGTAAAGAATTGTTGGAAAAATTACTTGTGTCATGCACAAAGTAGATGTCCTAACCGACTTGCCAAAACTATAGTTTTTTAACAAGAAATTTGTGGAGTGGTTGAAAAAAACAAGTTTTTATTACTCCAACCTAAGTGTATGTAAACTTCCGACTTCAACTGTATATACTTATTATGGACACAGTATGTTTTACATTAGTTATTTTGTTGCTATTAGTCCCAATCTTCAGCTCCATTTAACCCCTCCCATCTATCTCCTAACACCATCCATGTTGGATTTCTACTTGCCATATATTTCTCAACTGTACTGTGATGTTTCACAAAAGTTCTGAACTCTTCTATTCTCATTGTTTTTACTGATTGGAAATTGAAAATACAAATTTTTGCTAAAAGTATTATTATATTATTGATCGATTGACTGACTTTTCAGATCACCCAGTAGTGCTATCTGCAGGGTTAGCTCCAGGTAAATATTACAATTCTTCAGCCATTCCTGGACCTGTGACCAAAAACAAGCTACAAAACGGACAGTACCAAAACAAATGATCTAATGATTCTGTTTCTTCGCAGCAAAATCTGCAGAGCTGGGAAGATTGTATCCTCTATATAAATAACATTCTATTGGTACGTCATAAATCTCTTCCCAACTATTTTGTCAATCCTTTGGTCCTTAAATTAAACTGGTATACTTTTTTATTAATCACAATGTTCTTTAACCAATTATGGTCTTTATTGCAGGGCCGACAGACAAGTTCCTTACTTTTTCCCCCTTCCACTTTCCTCTTCCATTTTTGCGGTAATGCTGCAATTATTTGGTTGTATTTTTGAATAAAATAAATATCTGCTCACTAATTGGTGGCACCTAACGAATAAAGAAATAAAAAAACACAGGAACATCGTAATCATTACAGGAAGGTATCGCTTGTTGAGTCTCTCGGTTTAAAACGTCTCTGGTGCTAATAACCACTGGTCCTCGAGTGGCGCAGTGGTCTAAGGCACTGCATCGCAGTGCTAGCTGTGCCACTGTCGTAGCCGGCCGCGACCGGGAGACCCATGGGGCGGCGCACAATTTGCCCAGCGTCGTCCAGGGTAGGGGAGGGAATGGCCGGCAGGGATGTAGCTCAGTTGGTAGAGCATGGCGTTTGCAACGCCAGGGTTGTGGGTTCTATTCCCACGGGGGGCCAGTATGAAAAATAAAATAAAAAATAATGTATGCACTCACTAACTAAGTCGCTCTGGATAAGAGCGTCTGCTAAATGACTAAAATGTAAATGTATAAATGTCCTGATACTGGAAATTAGGCTAATGTCAGTGAGAATATGCACACAGTGGCTTTTGATGGCCATCCCCTACCTGGGCTTGTCGTGGTGTAGGTGATCCATCTCTCTCCATGTCTTTGTCTGAGTGTCAAACTCCCATCCGTCACCTAAAGGAAAGATATGGAAGAATATGTATAAGATTTTTTACAAAACACCTTCAATATATGTAATGCTTAACATAAGCACTAATCTCGGAAACCCAGAACTAAAATCTTGTGTAACGCGTCAGAGGCTCGATTAAGTTCTGAGTGCAGACATGTTAGAAAAGACACTAGAATGTGGGTCGGAAGCAAGGTGGTAGCTCCACCCCCCTCTTTTTGCAAGTCACGGCCTAGTCTATGGGCCAATTGTCCCATCCCCTTCCTAAATTCAAAAGATGCGAACACCTGCGAAATTGTGATTTTTCCAAATGATCGGTGGTGATAAATCTGCGCAGTGGAACAAAGTTCCTCGTTAGTCGTCGCATCCCACAGTCTGTTGACAGATGCTAAAATACCAGTTATGTTACATGACTGTCCACGAGCGATTACAAAAGCACTTTAGGATTTTAGAAAGGCGTAAGTGCTATAAGGACCCATGGGGTGTTATGAATCCTTATTACACCCATAACAATGCATTAGGGTTTGATTACAAAAATAACATTAAACATTTTCAAAAACAAAATGAATGTATCTAATTGTTGATTCAATTAAGTAACACTTTTTTTTAGACAACTAGCCTGGTAAACAAAAGTGACCGTAGCGCTCGATCTGATTTATCCAGGCTAGCTTCGGACTTACTTAAAGAATCACCGGTGATACTCAGCCCACCAAACAGGAAGAGGGTGTGGTCAGACACTGGGGTCAGGGTGTGCATGGAACGCCCCACAGGCACCAAAGACGAGGGGAGGTCACTGGAGGAATGCAGAATGTTTTACACACACACACACACACACACACTTAACACATGCTAACAAGGTCAAAAGTTGTTACAGAGACGAGCCCGTGGTGTTGTAGGTTGTGTAAACATATTAGATCTAACACAGTCTTGTGGCACGCTAGAGACCCAGGTTCAAACCCAGTCTGTCACATACTGTATATAGAGAGTAAGTGAGCTTACATCCGTGTCCATATCCAGGTGTCCAGATCCAGACAGTGGATGTCCAAAGCTGTGTCCTCCTGTCACGAATCAAACAAATATGAAATGTTTTGAAATCACAGGGATATAAGTCAGTCAACATCAGCAAATCCTAGTCTCAATCCTCCTCACAAGATGCCACATTATCAGCTTCTTTTCTCTTCTCCTGATAGGTCAATACAGTTGGCAACCACTGATATAAAGATGTTCAAAGCAAATCAGGCAGACAAGGACCAGAGTTGATTTCAAGATGGCAGATCCAAGTTCAAAGAGATGTTGTAGTCCACCCATAAACAGCAGGAATCTAATGGTGGTCCACTCACCAGACCTCCGCAGATGTAACCTTTGTCCCCCAGGGTGGCGCCGGTGTGGGAGGCTCTAGGAGCCGGGGTCTGACCCTACGGAAGGAAGCCAAGAGGGAACGTGTCATCAAGAGTTTTATCAATGTGTCAACAACAGAAGACAAGTGACAAGATAGTTGCTACATAGTGATGGAAGATGGGGTTAGTGACCCTTATACAATGTAAATCGCTACTATGACATGTAGTAAAAAAAATCATACTTAAATCATGATTAGCGATATGGTAAAAATAATAAGACCTTTCATTTGATTCGCATGAATATAGTAGTACCACACACACACACTCACATGGGTTTCAGGTTCCTTCCACGTCGCAGTGTGTGTGTCAAAAACGTTGACTTCGCTGTTCCAGCCCCAGAACCTAAAGAATGCCGTCCCAATCGTTGCCTGAGGAGTTATAACACCCAAGTAAAACATAAACATATGCCATAAACATTCACATAAACATATTCCAGTATCAATGTCAAAATAAATTAAGACAACTGTAGAAAATGTTGTGTATTTCTTGTATATTTATATTGTTTGTTTATTTATTGTTTATTTACCCAGGATGATTCATCGACTGTGAAGTTCCTTGAGTTGTTGACCTCTCTTATGGTTTTACATCCATACCCTCCAAAGTAGATGAGCCTATAGAACAATAACACAAAGGATCAGTAATGGCACCATCATTACCACATCCAGCTGCTTACTGCTCTACACATGTATCTATTGATTAATGAATTAATCTAAAGTAACCCTCTCACATATTTACATTTTAGTCATTTAGCAGACGCTCTTATCCAGTTAGTGAGTGCATACATAATTAATTTTTCATACTGGCCCCCCGTGGGAATATATATTGCAAGCAAAGTGAAAACAGTGAACACACAGTGTACACTCACATAATGTTTGCATTGTTTTGTTTGTTCACAATACACCCATCACTTGAATCTAGGTCCTTACTACTAATGGCTATTTTCCTCCCATTGAGATGTAATAAGTAGGTAAATTAGCAGGTAAAATAGCTGATTCCTACTGAGTGAATCTGAATAGGCAGTTAATAGACATTGTCAACTATAAAGGTGTGAATGTTTGGCTAATGCCTCAAGAGCACCTTTTATTGTGGCGCTAGCCTTACTGCTTGCAACAATGGGTGTGTGGCGATGAAGACTTTAAAATATCCTCTTCACCTGCATTGTTGTCACATTTCTAGGCCTAACCAGTCTGGATAGTGATCAATGTCATAAATATAGGGTTGCAAAACTACTGGTAATTTACCAAAGTAAATCAGAATTTTTGGTCATTAACGGGTAATCTATGGCAATATATGGTCATTTATACTTGAATAATAAAAAAAATAAAGTGTTTGAATAACAATCAAACAAAATATTAATATAAAGTATTACTTTTTTTTTATATTTGTGTCCATGAGTTTCTAGTGGATAGACCATATGGTTCAAGAGAAAATTGCCTAAGTAATGAAAAAAAGCATCAATCAACAATGTCATTATTTTCAATTAACTTTGCAACTCTTCCAACTATTGACTTTTTTCACAACTGCCATCAGTTTGGCACCAAAACATTTACAGCAAAGATATATTGACATAGTAAAATAAGTGTGTAAAAATAAGATATTTTATGCTGAAACACTCATATTAAACACCAATGGTATTCACTAAGTTGATGGGTTATAGTGAGGATAATGTTTTACAGCTTTATCATTCTATTTTTTATTGTAAAATCATATTTACATTTTTAGTAATTTAGCAGACGCTCTTATCCAGAGCGACTTACAGTTAGTGAGTGCATACATTTTTCATACATATAATTGTATATATTTTACATGTGATGAAAATTCCATCTGGGCAGAATCTACCGCATACCCAAAACGGATTAGTGAGGAAAATGCAAAACTGGAGAAACAGGAAAAAGTCAGATGCAATTTTTTTTTTTTATATGTTTTATAGAGGAAATGCTTTCGGCCAGTCAACCATCATCAGAGCATCTCCACAAACAATAGTGGGACAGATAAGGCCACAAAGAGGGCCAGAGATATTTACAGACACCTTTGATAATCTGAAGTACCCAAAAAGGCCACTAGATGTCATGTGATGAAAATTCCATAAAATCCTTAGAAATTAACAAAATTCTGGAAGTTTATGGTAAACTTCAAAAGTTTACAGTAATATACCTTCCCTTTGCAACCCTACATACATATTTATTTTATTGCACACATGAATGGTAGCTATGGCTTCCTGCAGTGCATTGTGTGTGTGTGTGTGTGTGTACATTACTTTAGTGCTTGCAGAGATAGCCCACTGACAAAGTTCTGTAACCATGTTGGTCTTTGTGTGTGTGTGTGTGTGTGTGTGTGTGTATTACTATCCTTGTGGGTACCGGAAATCCCCACAATGATAGTAATACAAGGAAAATTTATTTCAACGAGTAAAAAGTCTATTTTAAGCTTAGTGGTTAGGGTTACAATTAGGGTTAGAGGTTTAGGGTAAGGAGTTAGGGTTAGGGGTTACGTTTTGAATGGAAATCTATTTAAAGCATAGTAAAACATATGATGTGTGTGTGTGTGTACCTGTCTCGGTTTACCCAACAGGAGTGTTTGTCTCTGGGTGAGGGGGTGTTTCCCCGGGCGTCTGTCACTCTCCTCCAGGTGTAACATTCTTCCAGCAGGTCAACACTGTAAAGCTGCAGACAGCAACACAGGAACATTACTCTCTCATTTTAACACAAGCAGTGGACAGATAAAGGTATAGGCCCTGTCCAGAAACAACCCCATCCGCCTAGGCACTTGTTTAGATGCGAGAGGATTTCATATAGGGTATAAGCAATGTAGCCCTATGTTGGTTTGTGTGTGTGTACACGTTTTACTATACTTGTGAGTACCATAAGTCCTCACAAGAATAGTAAACCAACTAAAATCCAGAGAAATGAGCACATTTTGCCGTTCCCCACTTGTAAAAAGGCTATTTTAGGCTTAGAGGTTAGGTTTGATTTTGGGTTAGTGGTTTAGTTTAGGGTAATGTTTAGGGGTTAGGGAAAATAGGATTTTGAATGGGAATCAATTGTTGGTCCCCAAAAAGTCAAGTATAGTAAGACATAGCTGTGTGTGTGTCAGTTTAGTTTCTTAATGATCTCGCCAATGCCTGCTTTCTGAGTGAATATAGAGATGATTTCATTCTCTGTTTTACAGAGACTTGGTTAGCTGATGAGATTTCTAATGATGTGCTGAAATTGAATGGATTTTATGGTCCCATTCACGCAGATCGCGACCTGGCAATCACCGGAGGAGGGGTGTGTTTCTACATAAACAAATTCTGGTGTTCTTCCATAAACATCAAGAGCAAAAGATGTTGAAATGTTATGCATCTCATTGCGCCATTTCAGTGTTTATCACAGCTGTTTATGTACCACCCACAGCATACTACTACAATTGCTGCTCACATCACCTACCAATTTGTCCCTTGAAGCACCTAAAATCATACTCTTGTGATTTTAACTCCTGCTCACTTCACACTGGCCTACAAAACTATGAACAATATGTTATTTGTAGCACAAGGGGAGATAGGAAATTAGGACTTGTGTTATGGTAATATTAACAGGGCATATAAGTCACTGCAGAAGCCTCCAGTACTAACAAAATACAAACAGAAATTGGAGCAGGAAAAGCATAGGAAAGGGTAGTTCAGATATGGATGGTCAGAGGAAACGACAGACAGCCTGCACAAATTTTCCTGTACAAACTGGGAAATTTTTACAATGGACCAGACCATGAACGAGTCAGTATCAGCAGTGACTGCATACATCCATTTCTGTGAGGGCATGTTAATCCCCACAAAGACGGTGAAATGCTATCCAAATAACAAGCCTTGGATTACTGCAGAGCTGAAACAGACAGCCCTTTCTGCCGGCAACCAAAGGGAAGTGAAAACTGCAGGGGACCATAAAACAACAAATAGCCCAGGCTAAAGACAACTACAAAAAGAACGTGGAAACCAAGGGACGGCTACTGAAGGAATGCTCAGATGAACTGCCAGACAACTTTTGCACTCTCCTTAAAGTGGAACTGACAGTGTTTTAAGTACTTTGCAGATATGAAAACAGACAATCATAATATCAGTCAAAAATATCAAATTCCCAGTTTATTAAAAATAACCTTTATAAGAGGTTTAAAACATTTTTTTGTTATATTTGACTCAACATTCCATGACGTACACTAAGGCATTGTTGGCAGAATAGATGGATGCAGCTCAATGCATGATTAATATAATTCACCAATACATTTCTTGGTAGTCCAAAACAAATTGCTATCAGGTTGTAAATCACAGCTGGCCTGGTACATTGTTTGCTGCCTCCATTCGGGATGCACTGTTTCAGTTTCAATTACTCAATATTTTGAACATAAATGGACGAATGTAACTAATGCTGGGAATGTCAATACAATCAATCTAGAAAGGGTAATGATCACAAGTCAGTCATAACGTGGCTAATATGCTAGCGTATTATTTATATAGCAAGCTAAAAACACAGAGCCTAACGTTGGCTAGAGGACATCATGTCATTGGAGGAGTGGGTGAGTGACTGACTTTTCCCCCTCGTATCGTTTTTCGGTGGCTACACAGCTAGAGAAGCACTTGTCATTTGGTTAGCTAGCAAGAAATGTGAATCGCTTTGCTAGCTAGCTATGCTGAACGACTGTTATCCAGTTAGCATATCTCTTGCATTTGCAAATTCACTCTGGCTAGCTATCTACTTTCGATTTCAGTGCTAGGGTGAGTAAAATGGTCAGTGAGGTATTCTCTCATTTGTGTCTGAAAGTAGCTAGGTAGCAAGCTAGCCAACTTTAGCCAGTTAGCTTGGGTGCTTGGTTGGGACAACGGCATGCATTGGCAGGCAAGCTGCAGAAGGACGAGCAGGCTATTCCCCATAGTTTATCAGTGCAATTTTGACGGCCAACTAGCTGAAAAGTTTCAGAGGGTTTATCTAATGTTCCTTTGGTAGATTTTAGCTCATCTTGCTCTGGCTAGCATTAGTTGTTGATCTTGTTGTTGATGTGCATACAGAGAAAGATAGCCTACCTTTTTATGGTTGTTTGATTAATAGGACTGTAAAGTTCCCAAATGTAAGCGGACTCCCGTGCTATTTACATATTTGAGGAAATCCATTCAAGTGGATTTTGCCGAATGCGTTCTAATGATCGAAAGTCGCGCTTTTACAACTGCCTGTAAACACACAGTCCAATTCAAAGTGAATGATGGCCCTTGTGGCAAATGGCTTGTTTGCATATAGGCCTACTGTACCTCTGATTGGCTATGGCGGACCGGTCTGCCTAGACTCAGGTCCTGGACAAGACAGATATTTTTATTTACTGCAGTGTCTATTAATTGTCCAAACGCACAGCCACTTTCCCACTATGTCCCTATAGAATTTTCACAAATGCCTTAGTATACAGTGGGGGAAAAAAGTATTTAGTCAGCCACCAATTGTGCAAGTTCTCCCACTTAAAAAAGATGAGAGGCCTGTAAAAAAATTCCAGAAAATCACATTGTAGGGATTTTTAATGAATTTATTTGCAAAATATGGTGGAAAATAAGTATTAGGACACCTACAAACAAGCAAGATTTCTGGCTCTCACAGACCTGTAACTTCTTCTTTAAGAGGCTCCTCTGTCCTCCACTCGTTACCTGTATTAATGGCACCTGTTTGAACTTGTTATCAGTATAAAAGACACCTGTCCACAACCTCAAACAGTCACACTCCAAACTCCACTATGGCCAAGACCAAAGAGCTGTCAAAGAACACCAGAAACAAAATTATAGACCTGCACCAGGCTGGGAAGACTGAATCTGCAATAGCTTGGTAAGAAGAAATCAACTGTGGGAGCAATTATTAGGAAATGGAAGACATACAAGACCACTGATAATCTCCCTCGATCTGGGGCTCCACGCAAGATCTCACCCCGTGGGGTCAAAATTATCACAAGAATGGTGAGCAAAAATCCCAGAACCACACGGGGGGACCTAGTGAATGACCTGCAGAGAGCTGGGACCAAAGTAACAAAGCCTACCATCAGTAAACACACTACGCCGCCAGGGACTCAAATCCTGCAGTGCTAGATGTGTCCCCCTGCTTAAGCCAGTACATGTCCAGGCCCATCTGAAGTTTGCTAGAGTGCATTTGGATGATCCAGAAGAGGAATGGGAGAATGTCATATGGTCAGATGAAACCAAAATATAACTTTTTGGTAAAAACTCAACTCGTCGTGTTTGGAGGACAAAGAATGCTGAGTTGCATCCAAAGAACACCATACCTACTGTGAAGCATGGGGGTGGAAACATCATGCTTTGGGGCTGTTTTTCTGCAAAGGGACCAGGACGACTGATCCGTGTAAAGGAAAGAATGAATGGGGCCATGTATCGTGAGATTTTGAGTGAAAACCTCCTTCCATCAGCAAGGGCATTGAAGATGAAACGTGGCTGGGTCTTTCAGCATGACAATGATCCCAAACACCCCGCCCGGGCAACGAAGGAGTGGCTTCGTAAGAAGCATTTCAAGGTCCTGGAGTGGCCTAGCCAGTCTCCAGATCTCAACCCCATAGAAAATCTTTGGAGGGAGTTGAATGTCCATGTTGCCCTGCGACAGCCCCAAAACATCACTGCTCTAGAGGAGATCTGCATGGAGGAATGGGCCAAAATACCAGCAACAGTGTGTGAAAACCTTGTGAAGACTTACAGAAAACGTTTGACCTGTGTCATTGCCAACAAAGGGTATATAACAAAGTATTGAGAAACTTTTGTTCTTGACCAAATACTTATTTTCTACCATAATTTGCAAATAAATTCATAAAAAATCCTACACTGTGATTTTCTGGAATTTTTTTCCTCATTTTGTCTGTCATAGTTGACGTGTACCTATGATGAACATTACAGGCCTCTCTCATCTTTTTAAGTGGGAGAACTTGCACAATTGGTGGCTGACTAAATACTTTTTTCCCCACTGTACGTAATTCTCCATCATTCTAAGAATTTTATTAAAAATTTGAAAATGACCATATCCAAGTGCTCGCCTGTTTTTTTTTTTTAAGTGTCATATTCTTCGTGGGAGTGTATATAAACAGATTTTAATAAGATTTTATGTTGCTAAAATGCTGCCAGTTCCACTTTAACAACTCCCTCTCAGAACACATGGTTCCCTCACTCTGGAAGACCTCTGAGATCTGACCAGTTCCAAAGAAGAACAACCCAGCAGAATACCGCCCTGGGGCAGTGGGTCATAGGACAGATGCAGCAGAGACTTTGAATATGTGAAAATGTAAATGTGTATCATAACTTTTCCGTACTGCATGTAATATATTGTGTTGTGTTTTTTGTATTTGTATGCTGATGTCACTAAATGAATTTCCATGTAAATGGACAATAAAGTATATTGTATCATTAATGTCAGTCGTTGTGAAGTGCCTTGAGAGCTTGATGCCAACACGTCTCAGGTCACATGTGGATGGAGCCCTTGACCCAACGCAGTTTGTATACAGGAAGGAATGGCGCCGGAGAAGATGGCTGCCGTTTTACAGCCCTCTAACCAATTGTACTATTATGTGCGTTTTTCGCGTTATTTGTAATATAGTCTGTACATAATTGTACTCCTGAGTGGCGCAGTGGTCTAAGGCACTGCATCGCAGTGCTAACTGTGCCACTAGAGATCCTGGTTCGAATCCAGGCTCTGTCGCAGCCGGCCGCGACTGGGAGACTCATGGGCGGCGCACAATTGGCCCAGCGTCGTCCAGGGTAGGGAAGGGAATGGCCGGCAGGGATGTAGCTCAGTTGATAGAGCATGGCGTTTGCAACGCCAGGGTTGTGAGTTCGATTCCCACGGGGGGCCAGTATAAAAAAATATGTATTCACTAACTGTAAGTCGCTCTGGATAAGAGCGTCTGCTAAATTACTAAAATGTAAATGTAATAATGTTTCTGCCACCGTCTCTTATGACCAAAAAGAGCTTCTGGATATCAGGACAGCGATTACTCACCTCGTATTGGACAAAGTTTTTTCTTCAACGAGTCGGACGCGAAGGATATTCTACAGACACCCAACAAGGCCCAAATCCCCGTCATTCGCATGAGAAAGAGACGGAGATATCGTGGACGTAGGTCGGAGTGCCTTGTAAGGATCCGACGGCGAGCGAGTAAACTGCCTCTTCCATCAATCCTATTAGCCAATGTTCAATCATTTGAAAATAAATTGGACGGCCTAAGATTATGGGACATTAAAAACTGTAATATCTTATGTTTCACAGAGTAGTGGCTGAACGACGGCATGGATAACATACAGCTGGATGGGATATACGCTACATCGGCAGGATAGAACGGCTGACTCCGGTAAGACAAGGGTTGGCGGTCTGTGTATATTTGTAAACAACAGCTGGTGCATAAAATCTAATATTAATATAAAATATTAAGGAAGTCTCGAGGTTTTGCTCGCCTGAGGTAGAGTATCTCATGATAAGCTGTAGACCACACTATTTACCAAGAGAGTTTTCATCTATATTTTTCATAGCTGTCTATTTACAAACATGCTGGCACTAAGATTGCACTCAATGAGCTGTATAAGGCCATAAGCAAACAGGAAAACGCTCATCCAGAGGCAGCACTCCTAGTGGACGGGGACTTTAATGCAGGGAAACTTAAAACCGTTCTACCTAATTTTTACCAGCATGTTAAATGTGCAACCAGAGAAAAAAAAAAAAAATAACTTCACCACCGTTACTCCACACACAGAGATGTATACAAAGCTCTCCCTCGCCCTCCATTTGGCAAATCTGACCATAACTCTATCCTCCTGATTCCTGCTTATAAGCAAAAACTAAAGCAGGAAGCACCAGTGACTCAGTTAATAAGGAAGTGGTCAGATGACGCAGATGCTAAGCTACAGGACTGTTTTGCTAGCACAGACTGGAATATGTTCCGGGATTCTTCCGATAGCTTTGAGGAGTACACCACATCAGTCACTGGCTTCATCAACAAGTGCATATATGACGTCATCCCCACAGTGACCGTACGTACATACTCCAACCAGAAGCCATGGATTACAGGCAACATCCGCACTGAGCTAAAGGGTAGAGCTGCCGCTTTAAGGAGCGGGACTCTAACCCGGACGCTTATAAGAAATCCCGCTATGACCTCCGACGAACCATCAAACAGGCAAAGAGTTAATGTAGGACTAAGACTGAATCGTACTACACCGGCTCTGACGCTCGTCGGATGTGGCAGGGCTTCAAAACTATTACAGACTACAAAGGGAAGCACAGCCGCGAGCTGCCCAGTGACACAAGCCTACCAGACGAGCTAAATCACTTCTATGCTCACTTTGAGGCAAGCAACACTGAAGCATGAATGAGCGCATCAGCTGTTCCGGATGACTATGTGATCACGCTCTCCGTAGCCGATGTGAGTAAGACTTTTAAGCAGGTCAACATTCAGATTACCAGGACGTGTACTCTGAGCATGCGCTGACCAACTGGCAAGTGTCTTCACTGACATTTTCAACATGTCCCTGACTGAGTCTGTAATACCAACATGTTTCAAGCAGACCACCATAGTCCCTGTGCACAAGAACAGTAAGATAACATGCCTAAATGACTACCGACCTGTAGCACTCACGTCTGTAGCCATTAAGTGCTTTGATCATAGCTCACATCAACACCATTCTCTCAGAAACCCTAGACCCATTCCAATTTGCATATCGCCCCAACAGATCCACAGATGATGCAATCTCTATTGCACTCCACACTGCCCTGGACAAGAGGAACACCTATGTGAGAATGCTATTCATTGACTACACCTCAGCATTCAACACCATAGTGCCCTCAAAGCTCATCACTAAGCTAAGGACCCTGGGACTAAACACCTTCCTCTGCAACTGGATCCTGGACTTCCTGATGGGCCGCGCCCAGGTGGTAAGGGTAGGTAACAACACATCTGCCACGCTGATCGTCAACACGGGAGCCCCTCAGGGGTGCGTGCTCAGTCCCCTCCTGTACTCCCTGTTCACCCACGACTCCAACAACATCATTAAGTTTGCCGACAACACAACAGTGGTAGGCCTAATCACCAACAACGATGAGACAGCCTATAGGGAGGAGGTCAGAGACCTGGCCGTGTGGTGCCAGGATAGTGGAACAGGTTGAGAGCTGTTCCACTACATGGTCCAAACACACAAAGACAGTCGTGAAGAGGGCACGAGAAAGCCTCTGAAAAGACTGAAAAGATTTGGCATGGGTCCTCAGATCCTCAAAAAGTTATACAGCGGCACCATCGAGAGCATCCTGACTGGTTGCATCACCGCCTGGTATGGCAACTGCTCGGCCTCCGACCACAAGGCACTACAGAGGGTAGTGCGTACGGCCCAGTACATCACTGGGGCCAAGCTTCCTGCCATCCAGGACCTCTATACCAGGCGGTGTCAGAGGAAGGCCCTAAAAATTGTCAACGACTCCAGCCACCCTAGTCATAGACTGTTCTCTCTGCTACCGCACGGCAAGCGGGACCGGCGCGCCAAGTCTAGGTCCAAAAGGCTTCTTAACAGCTTCTACCCCCAAGCCATAAGACTCCTGAACAGCTAATCATGGCTACCCGGACTATTTGCATTGACCCCCCACTCCACCCCCCTCTTTTACGCTGGTGCTACTCTGTTTATTATTTATGCATAGTCACTTTAACTCTACCCATATGTACATATTACCTAAATTACCTCGACTAACCAGTGTCCCCGCACATTGAATCTGTACCGGTACCCCCCTGTATATAGTCTCCCTACTGTTATTTTATTTTACTGCTGCTCTTTAGTTATTTGCTATTTTCTACTTAACACTTTTTTTTTTTTCTTAAAAACTGCATTGTTGGTTAAGGGCTTGTAAGTAAGCATTTCACTGTAAGGTCTACACCTGTTGTGTTCGGCGCATGTGGCAAATAACATTTGATTTGAAGAACAGATCAGGGGAAGATGCAGTCCTGACGGTGTGGCACAGCACCGTGACAAATTGCCGTGATTCACTATACGGATAGCCACGCTAGCTATGTACTGCTACAGTTGAAGTCGGAAGTTTACATACACTTAGGTTGGAGTCATTAAAACTTGTTTTTCAACCACTCCACCAATTTCTTGATAACAAACTATAGTTTTGGCAAGTCGGTTTGGACATCTACTTTGTGCATGACACAAGTAATTTTCCCAAAAATTGTTTACAGACAGATTATTTCACTTATAATTCACTGTATCACAATTCCAGTTGGTCAGAAGTTTACATACACTAAGTTGACTGTGCCTTTAAACAGCTTGGAAAATTCCAGAAAATGATGTCATGGCTTTAGAAGCTTCTGATAGGCTAATTGACATCATTTGAGTCAATTGGAGGTGTACCTGTGGATGTATTCCAAGGCCTACCTTTGCTTGACATCATGGGAAAATCAAAAGAAATCAGCCAAGGCCTCAGAAAAAAATGTGTACACCTCCACAAGTCTGGTTCATTCTTAGGAGCAATTTCCAAACGCCTGAAGGTACCACGTTCATCTGTACAAACAAGAGTACACAAGTATAAACATCATGGGACCACGCAGCCGTCATACCGCTCAGGAAGGAGACGAGTTCTGTCTACTAGAGATTAACGTACTTTGGTGAGAAAAGTACAAATCAATCCCAGAACAACAGCAAAGTACCTTGTGAAGATGCTGGAGGAAACAGGTACAAAAATATCTATATCCACAGTAAAACAAGTCCTATATCGACATACAGTGGGGGGAAAAAAGTATTTAGTCAGCCACCAATTGTGCAAGTTCTCCCACTTAAAAAGATGAGAGAGGCCTGTAATTTTCATCTTAGGTACAAGTCAACTATGACAGACAAATTGAGGAAAAAAAATCCAGAAAATCACATTGTAGGATTTTTAATGAATTTATTTGCAAATTATGGTGGAAAATAAGTATTTGGTCACCTACAAACAAGCAAGATTTCTGGCTCTCACAGACCTGTAACTTCTTCTTTAAGAGGCTCCTCTGTCCTCCACTCGTTACCTGTATTAATGGCACCTGTTTGAACTTGTTATCAGTATAAAAGACACCTGTCCACAACCTCAAACAGTCACACTCCAAACTCCACTATGGCCAAGACCAAAGAGCTGTCAAAGGACACCAGAAACAAAATTGTAGACCTGCACCAGGCTGGGAAGACTGAATCTGCAATAGGTAAACAGCTTGGTTTGAAGAAATCAACTGTGGGAGCAAACACTACGCCGCCAGGGACTCAAATCCTGCAGTGCCAGATGTGTCCCCCTGCTTAAGCCAGTACATGTCCAGGCCCATCTGAAGTTTGCTAGAGTGCATTTGGATGATCCAGAAGAGGATTGGGAGAATGTCATATGGTCAGATGAAACCAAAATAGAACTTTTTGGTAAAGTTTCAACTCGTCATGTTTGGAGGACAAAGAATGCTGAGTTGCATCCAAAGAACACCATACCTACTGTGAAGCATGGGGGTGGAAACATCATGCTTTGGGGCAGTTTTTCTGCAAAGGGACCAGGACGACTGATCCGTGTAAAGGAAAGAATGAATGGGGCCATGTATCGTGAGATTTTGAGTGAAAACCTCCTTCCATCAGCAAGGGCATTGAAGATGAAACGTGGCTGGGTCTTTCAGCATGACAATGATCCCAAACACACTGCCGGGCAACGAAGGAGTGCCTTCGTAAGAAGCATTTCAAGGTCCTGGAGTGGCCTAGCCAGTCTCCAGATCTCAACCCCATAGAAAATCTTTGGAGGGAGTTGAAAGTCCGTGTTGCCCAGCGACAGCCCCAAAACATCACTGCTCTAGAGGAGATCTGCATGGAGGAATGGGCCAAAATACCAGCAACAGTGTGTGAAAACCTTGTGAAGCCTTACAGAAAACGTTTGACCTGTGTCATTGCCAACAAAGGGTATATAACAAAGTATTGAGAAACTTTTGTTATTGACCAAATACTTATTTTCCACCATAATTTGCAAATAAATTCATTAAAAATCCTACAATGTGATTTTCTGGATTTTTTTTCCTCCTTTTGTCTGTCATAGTTGACGTGTATCTATGATGAAAATTACAGGCCGCTCTCATCTTTTTAAGTGGGAGAACTTGAACAATTGGTGGCTGACTAAATACTTTTTTCCCCCACTGTAACCTGAAAGGCCACTCAGCAAGGAAGAAGCAACTGCTCCAAAACAGCCATAAAAAAGCCAGACTACGGTTTGCAACTGCACATGGGGACAAAGATCGTACTTTTTGGAGAAATGTCCTCTGTTCTGATGAAACAAAAATATAACTGTTTTGCCATAATGACCATTGTTATGTTTGGAGGAAAAAGGGGGATGCTTGCAAGCTGAAGAACACCATCCCAACCGTGAAGCACGGGGGTGGCAGCATCATGCTGTGGGGGTGCTTTGCTGCAGGAGGGACTGGTGCACTTCACAAAATAGATGGCATCATGAGGAAGGAAAATTATGTGGATATATTGAAGCAACATCTCAAGACATCAGTCAGGAAGTTAAAGCTTGGTCGCAAATGGGTCTTCCAAATGGACAATGACCCCAAGCATACTTCCAAAGTTGTGGCAAAATGGCTTAAGGACAACAAAGTCAAGGTATTGGAGTGGCCATCACAAAGCCCTGACCTCAATCCTATAGAAAATGTGTGGGCAGAACTCAAAAAGCGTGTATGAGCAAGGCCTACAAACCTGACTCAGTTACACCAGCTCTGTCAGGAGGAATGGGCCAAAATTCACTCAACTTATTGTGGGAAGTTTGTGGAAGGCTACCTGAAACGTTTGACCCAAGTTAAACAATTTAATGGCAATGCTACCAAATACTAATTGAGTGTATGTAAACTTTTGACCCGCTGGGAATGTGATGAAAGTAATAAAAGCTTAAATAAATCACTCTCTACTATTATTCTGACATTTCACATTCTTAAAATAAAGTGGTGATCCTAACTGACCTATGACAGGGACTTTTTACTAGGATTAAATGTCAGGAATTGTGAAAAACTGAGATGTATTTGGCTAAGGTGTATGTAAACTTCTGACTTCAACTGCAGGTATCAACAGCCAGTCCAGTAGGGGCTGGAAGCTATAGTGAACTTCGATTGGTCAATCAAGCTGCGATGAGTATTTGCATAAAGTTCCGCTTTCCCCAACTTAGGGCACACCCTGTTCACTCGCCCATGCTCGTATCGCCCAATGGTCACCCTGCCCACTTCGCTTCCTCCATTGAAAATGGCTTCAACGCCCCTATCGTGTTCAACGTGGACAGAGAGGAAGAGGCAAAGCGAAACTATTTACACCACCCAAAATATGTCCGCGTGAGATAAGCCCTTTTTATATATGGGGGTCTATGAGAGAGTGTCGAATTACATGAGGCTTATTTGATCTAATAGAAGTTTCGTCATGTTTAGGTTGTTACAAATGTACTGATATAAGTGGATGCACATGGCATTCCGGCAACTTTGAGAAAAACTACTTAGTTGTGCCTGTTGTTCACACGTGTATCTGCCCTCTCATTGGGTAGAATGGTCCCACCGGATCTCCACTGTCACTCGTATGTGTGTGTCTTTTCCTGGAATTCTCCTCTGCTTTTCAACTGCATGCAGCCTCACCTTCTCTGTGAAAAGCTCTCCCACCTACAGGTAGATCCCAGCATTACCTTGTGGGTGCTGGACTTCCTGCTGAACAGTGGACAGTATGCCAAGATCAACAACACAACATTCCTTCCTCTGTGTACATCTACTGGTTCCAAAGAACGAATCTCTCCAGTGCTAGTCTCCATATACACCAATGACATGAAAGGCTCAGACAGGGACTGCTTGGCAGTGAAATACGCAGACGACGCCACCCTTGTCGACCTCTCAGATGACACAATGCATTTCCAAACAGAAGTAAACAGGGTTTATGACTGGTGCCATAACAACAACCTCACACTCAACATCAACAAAATAAATGCTCATTGATTTCCAGATGAAGGCAGAGGAAGCCAGCTATTCCTGGGTGTTGAACAGGCAGAGAGAGTGTGGAGTTTCAAGTACCTGGGGAATATCATGGACAGCACACTCGCTTTTAATGGCAACACTCAAAACATCAATAAAAATTCCAACAACGACTGTACCTCCTGCGACTGACACAACTGCGTGCTTAGTACCCTCCTGTACTCCCCGTTCACCCATGACTGCGTGGCCGCACACAACTCCAACACCATCATTAAGTTTGCCGATGACACAACGGTGGTAGGCCTGAACACCGACGACGATGAGACAACCTATAGGGAGGAGGTCAGAGACCAGGCAGTGTGGTGCCAGGTCAACAACCTCTCCCCTTAACGTCAGCAAGATAAAGGAGCTGATCGTGGACTACAGGAAACAGAGGGCCGAGCACGCCCCCATTCACATCAATAGGGCTGTAGTGGAGCGGGTTGAGAGTTTAAAGTTCATCGGTGTCCACATCACTAAGGACCTATCATGGTCCAAACACACCAACACAGTCATGAAGAGGGCACGACAACACTTCTTCCCCCTCAGGAAGCTGAAAAGATTTGTCATGGGCCCTCAGATCCTCAAAAGGTTTTACAGCTGCACCATTGAGAGCATCTTGACTGACTGCGTCACTGCATGGTATGGCAACTGCTTGGCATCCGACCGCAAGGTGCTACACAGGGTAGTGCGTACGGCCCAATAAATCACTGGAGCCGACCTCCCTGCCATCCAGGACCTCTATACCAAGCAGTGTCAGAGGAAGGCCCTAAAAATTGTCATAGACTCCAGCCACCCAAGTCATAGACTATTATCTCTGCTACCGCATGGCAAGCGGTACCGGAGCGCCAAGTCTGGGACAAAAGGCTCATGAACAGCTTCTACCCTCAAGCCATAAGACTGCTGAGCAGATAATCAATTGACCCCTACAGTGAGGGAAAACAGTATTTGATCCCCTGCTGATTTTGTACGTTTGCCCACTGACAAAGAAATGATCAGTCTATAATTTTAATGGTAGGTTTATTTGAACAGTGAGAGACAGAATAACAACAACAAAATCCAGAAAGACGCATGTCAAAAATATTATAAATTGATTTGCATTTTAAATGAGGGAAATAAGTATTTGACCCCTCTCAATCAGAAAGATTTCTGGCTCCCAGGTGTCTTTTATACAGGTAACGAGCTGAGATTAGGAGCACACTCTTAAAGGGAGTGCTCCTAATCTCAGTTTATTACCTGTATAAAAGACACCTGTCCACAGAAGCAATCAATCAATCAGATTCCAAACTCTCCACCATGGCCAAGACCAAAGAGCTCTCCAAGGATGTCAGGGACAAGATTGTAAACCTACACAAGGCTGGAATGGGTTACAAGACCATCGCCAAGCAGCTTGGTCAGAAGGTGACAACAGTTTGTGCAATTATTCGCAAATGGAAGAAACACAAAAGAACTGTCAATCTCCCTCTGCCTGGGGCTCCATGCAAGATCTCACCTCGTGGAGTTGCAATGATCATGAGAACGGTGAGGAATCAGCCCAGAACTACACGGGAGGATCTTGTCAATGATCTCAAGGCAGCTGGGACCATAGTCACCAAGAAAACAATTGGTAACACACAACGCCGTGAAGGACTGAAATCCTGCAGCGCCCGCAAGGTCCCCCTGCTCAAGAAAGCACATTTACAGGCCCGTCTGAAGTTTAACAATGAACATCTGAATGATTCAGAGGAGAACTGGGTGAAAGTGTTGTGGTCAGATGAGACCAAAATTGAGCTCTTTGGCATCAACGCAACTCGCCGTGTTTGGAGGAGGAGGAATGCTGCCTATGACCCCAAGAACACCATCCCCACCATCAAACATGGAGGTGGAAACATTATGCTTTGGGGGTGTTTTTCTGATAAGGGGACAGGACAACTTCACCGCATCAAAGGGACGATGGACGGGGCCATGTACCATCAAATCTTGGGTGAGAACCTCCTTCCCTCAGCCAGGGCATTGAAAATGGGTCGTGGATGGGTATTCCAGCATGACAATGACCCAAAACACACGGCCAAGGCAACAAAGGAGTGGCTCAAGAAGAAGCACATTAAGGTCCTGGAGTGGCCTAGCCAGTCTCCAGACCTTAATCCCATAGAAAATCTGTGGAGGGAGCTGAAGGTTCGAGTTGCCAAACGTCAGGCTCGAAACCTTAATGACTTGGAGAAGATCTGCAAAGAGGAGTGGGACAAAATCCCTCCTGAGATGTGTGCAAACCTGGTGGCCAACTACAAGAAACGTCTGACCTCTGTGATTGCCAACAAGGGTTTTGCCACCAAGTACTAAGTAATATTTTGCAGAGAGGTCAAATACTTATTTGCCTCATTAAAATGCAAATCAATTTATAACATTTTTGACATGCGTTTTTCTGGATTTTTTTGTTGTTATTCTGTCTCTCACTGTTCAAATAAACCTACCATTAAAATTATAGACTGATCATGTCTTTGTTAGTGGGCAAACGTACAACATCAGCAGGGGATCAAATACTTTTTTCCCTCACTGTATATGAATTAATTTTTTGCACTGGCTCTATGCACACTCACTGGACTCTAGCCTCATTATTGTTATTTTATTGTGTTACTATTTCCCTTTTTTTTGTTGCTAATCTTTTGTTACATTTTAACTCTGCATTGTTGGGAAAGGTCTCGTAAGTAAGCATTTCACGGTAAAGTCTACACCGGTTCGGTTATATTCGCCGCATGTGACAAATAAAATTGGATTTGAACTGCATGTCAACACCCAGGGTCTTCAGGGAATCTTTGATAGACGGGCAATGGACAAGGCCAAACGATTCATAGAGGACCCCACACACAACCTTACCCAATGTTTTGAGCTGCTGCCCTCCAGAAGGAGATATACCGTAAGATAACACTGTTCAGCAAGAATAGGAGCAGGTTAAGTTTTATTCCGATGGCCATCGGGCTGCTGAACAGTGGGACATAGGACAGATGTAGGTCCAATACATGGTCGGACAGTAGGCCGCAGCGACAGTGAATATGTGTGCATTAACTATCCAGTCTTTTCTGCATTCCATGTATTACAGTGTATTGTTTTTGTGTATTTGTATGCAGAATTCACAAAATGAATTTGCATGTAAATGGACAACAAAGTACATCGAATGATATAGCGTGAATTCCACTTAGCAGATCAGAGAGCAAGGTGGAGCTACTACCATATTTCTTATACCTTTCGAATTATTATTAGTGTACTAACAACTACCACGAAAGGTTACTTTTCTTGTTATACCAAAGAAAACATTTATTTAACTTTCCCAAGCCCGGATTTAATAGGCTACCCAGGACCATTTCGAAGTCCCTTCTCACAAAGTCAGCTTCCAATTCACTTCCAAATCGACAAGCAGCCACTTTCTCATGAACACAGTTCATACGAATGACACTAATACATTCCTGTGTCTTTCTGTCTGCACTTCTGTGATATCAAGTTACAGCCCATGCTACTTGGCCATGAGGAAAACAAAACACGTCAGACAGCTTTTGGCCTTTCTTGATTCTCTTAACAGGCCCCTATCAATCACACAATCTGATCTGAGGTCAGTTTCACTTTAACACTTTGTACCTCCAAGGGGAAAAGGATACAGCTGGGTAAAGGCATCCTCATACATAGGTTCGGTTTGCTCCTAGCAGAACTTAGCTAGGAAAAGTGAACATCTGTGCTTGCATTCTCCCTTAAAATACCTTCGCTTGGAAAACGAGAAAAAAGCAGCAATATTACTGTTTGTCCCTCTTGAGACACTGTAGCAAAAGTACACTTCTTCAAAATAGTCTGAATTAATAACTCAAGAAATCTGTAATTCATTTTGACATTTTTGCCGAGAAGGTCAGCCACGCAATCAATGTTTGGTGCAGTATTCTCAAGTGAAAAAATGTGCATGAAAACTAGTCGTCTGTCTTTGAATGACAACAAACACTTCATTGAAGAATCGCTACTGTTGACCAATCGCAGACAAAGGGGCATAGACTTTGGCTACCGAACTTCGACTAGCGAACTGTTTCGACTAGGACGCAAACGGCAAGCCTTAGGGTGACCTGATCCTAGGTCAGTGGGTGGATAATTGCTGTCCTTACCTGGTTGGTGTGTCCGTTGGGGTCACACCCTCCGAACACGTAGAGAGTGCCATTGTGATAAGAACCGCAGGCGCCTGATAAGGCCGGAGGGAGTTCTCCCTCCATCCTCCTCCGCTCCCTGACACATACACACAAACATGCAAATGAAAGCTCAGTAATGCGTGTCTGTCAGGGGGCGGGTAATGTGTATGTCTGGGGGGTAGTGGCATTATCACAAACACAAAAACCGAAATAGGGAAGAGTGATAGCCTATGTTGTTTGCAGGTCTTCTTGTGTACATGCTACAGCACTGCAAACTTGGTCAAGTAAGTTAAGATATTAACGAGCAATAAACAATGAATTACAAAGAATTGTCATAACACAGTGGGCAGGTGAATCAATTCATTTTAGAATAATTGAAAAAAATTAATGACTGAAGAGCTTGAGTCCAACAGGAAACAGACGGTCTCATAATCTTACCATATTCCGCACTCCAAATCGCACAGCCAAATCTCATCACTGGGTAACAGTGTTTCTGTTCCAGAGACTGACTGTCATGGAACATCAGAAAAACAATATCTACCATCAATAAGATAGAGTGCTACACTATTGAAACATTGTAGCAATCATTCACACAATAGGCTAAACCTACTAGTCACAATGGGAATATGAAATATTACAAAAAAAGAAACACAGGGAATATTTTCTAGATGTGAAGACAGTTGAATACAAACAAAAGGTTTGGCAGTGGTAACATGAATAACTACGGAAAAGGTAGCCCAATAATGGACTAAAAGGAGACTAACGTTACTCCTTATTGTCCAAACACATTACATGTTCTGTTTATAGAGGTAAATTGGCTCTGGCAGCTAAAACAACCAAATACTCAATCTAGTGAATAGATGCTCAATTGCGGTACGGCTCTAGAAACATAAAGCCCTCTATTTTCATATCACATCATACATATATATATATATATACTGTTTAAACCAGTTTTAATAGTTGCAGCAGATGGTAATTTTGAGTGACAAGTTTGTGGCGTCTGGCTTCTTTACACACAGGTGTTCGGAGACGCAGATTACTAATTAGCATAGGTAGCCTATGCCTCAATCTTCCGTCTGTGTTTTCTGTAAACAAGCGCTGTAACATGGAAATATGGCCGTGTGGGAACCCTATAAAAAGGTGTGTAGTAATTTCACATTTTGTATTACTATTATTTCTCGCTGTCAGTATGAAAGATATGTTCCTCTTGTTTCCAAAACCGTACTACAAGCGATGCGTTTGAAAGTTCAGAACGAGAATCGAGGCTCAGCAAAACTTCCCCGGCTATAAAATGCTATCGCAGTAATATACGATGTAGGCCTACATCACAGCAGATATGCATATCGTGGAGTTGAGAAACCGCTAGGGAAAAAGGTATCTGAACATATTAAATGTGATGCCTATAGCGTTTTGCTGAAATGCGGCTGTTATTTTTTTGGGTACTTTGCCCAGGTAACCTTACCTTACAGCCTCCCCACACATAAAGAACGCTCCCTTCCACGAATGCGGTGTGATCACTCCGCTCCAGCGAGTTCAACATCTCGACACCAGTTCCTGTATTCATCATCAACTGCGACTAAAGAAAGGCAACTGAGTCTCTCTCGTGTTTACTTTCTCCAGATCATAGGAATCCTAATGGCGCTGAGATGGGATGGACTTCTTGCTACATGCAAAGACAAGCCAGAGTGTGAAAACGTGCTCCTCAGGATTGATTTGAGCCCCTGGGGCGCGTTTCTATTGTGGAATGTAAATCGTTTCAGAGCATTATGCGACTGGGCGAAGGCCGCCTTTCCAATTGCTTGAATACATCTTCTAAAAAATGTTTTAGGCTATAATACATAAGCTACACTTGAATTGATAGAAATAGACAAATAATACCCTATATTTTAAGTGGTATGGTTTAATGATGCACTTCTAATTGTTTAATTTTGTTAGGCCTATGTAAAAACAAATATAATAATCCTGCTCAGTTTAACAACAGACAAAACACTCTTAAAATATAGGCTACACGTTTTTATGTCTTCTAGTAGCCATTGATTGTAGTAGGCTACAGTTTACAGCAGGGGTGTCAAACGTCCGGCCCACGGGCCGGATCAGGCCCGCAAACGGGTTTAATCCGGCCAGCGAGATGATTAAAAAAAAATAAATAATAATAATAATAATTTTGTAAAGTATAAAAATGCGCTGCAATTTTTCAATAAAATAAACTGCTGTTCCAATTGCGTCCACTGGATGGCGCAATAGCAATTGTGTTAAGCAAGCAAACTGTTTATACCGGGGCAGAGCAAGTAGGTCAAGCACGTGCAGCCAATGAACTACTTTGTTTTGCCCGCGATATTTATTACGGCTTCTACTTTTAAAATTATGTGCTTTGGCACCCTCATTGCCCCAATATGTCTCTGTCAAAAAAGAGAAAAGTGGACGCAGAGTGCAGAGTGTTCCAAGAAAAATGGTCATCCTATTTATTCACGGAATTGAATGGGAAAGCTGTATGTTTGGTGTGTTCAGAGCATGTTGCAGTGCTGAAAGAATATAACCTTCGTCGCCACTATGTGAGTCTTCATGCCGACAAATATGACAACTTTCAAGGACAGCGGAGATGAGAGAAGGTGAATGAACTGTTGGCGGGTCTGAAGAAACAGCAGTCTGTGTTGACTCACAGCCGAGACATCAGTGACGCTGCAGTGAAAGCTAGCTACCTCATTGCTAATGAAATCGCAGTGGCTTCAAAACCATTTAGTGAGGGTGAATTTGTAAAAACATGCATGATGAAGGCAGCGGAGATTGTGTGCCCTGAAAAGCGGCGGGCTTTTGCAAATATCAGCCTGACAAGAAACACAGTTGCAGTCAGGATTTCCGATCTTTCAGTGGATTTGGACAGCCAGTTGAAGCAAAAAGTAAAGTCATTTATTGCGTTTTCGGTTGCAATTGATGAAAGCACGGACATTACAGATGTTGCACAACTGGCCATTTTCATCCGCGGAGTTGATGACACATTGACCGTCACCGAGGAGTTCGTGGAGTTGGTGCCGATGACAGATACAACGACAGCAGCTGATATTTTTACCGCACTCGTCGGCGCGCTGGACAGGGTCGGAGTGGACTGGTCCCGCGCTGTCAGCCTGGCTACAGATGGTGCGCCCTCAATGATCGGGAAAAAAGCAGGCGTTGTGACAAAGTTCAGAGAGAAAGTGCAATCTGCAAATGGAGGACGTGCTTTTTTGACTTTTCACTGTATTTTACACCAGGAGGCTTTGTGTTGCAAGTCATTAAAGATGGATAACGTCATGAAGGTGGTCATCCAAACTGTTAATTTCATCCGATCCAGAAGCCTGAATCACCGTCAGTTTGACAGCCTTCTCAGAGAGAAAGACCACATCTATTCCCTGCCATACCACACTGAGGTAATATGGTTAAGCCGAGGTGCTAAGGCGTTTCTTTGATTTACGAGAAGAAATTGAACAGTTCATGGAAGAAAAGGGCAAACCAGTGTTAGAATTTCATTCCGCAGAATGGATGCAGGACATTGCATTTATGGTGGATGTTACAGAGCACCTGAATAACTTGAACAAACAGCTGCAAGGGCGCAACAAAGTTGTCACGCAGTATTATGAAAGCATACGTTCTTTCAAGTTGAAGCTGTCATTGTGGGAGACGCAACTTGCCGGTGGTGATGCAGCTCACTTCCCCTGTCTGAAAAATGTGTGCGCGACCCAACATGTGGCAGACATGAAGCGGTTCAAAGATAAAATAACGGGACTGTTACGGGAGTTTGAGCAACGCTTTCAGATTTATGTTTATATGTTTTTATGTTGATGTGCTATTGTTTTTAATTGATTTTATTTTATTTGTATATTTAACCTATTCTTGACTCTGTGGTTCTTGCACTTGTTTGGGGAACAGGATTTCATTATTTTTATCTACATTTCTGCCTGAGAAATGACACCCTGATATAGTTCTGTGATCTGTGATATACTTCTGTGAATCACTGAGGCATTGTGTGTTTGTGTGTTCTTTGTCCTCAGATCTTTCAAATAACTTGAGGTGTTTTATGATTAATAGTGATGTTGTGCTTTTGGACACTGTCCTCAGGCTCCTGCTTTATGTTTATATGTTTTTATGTTGATGTGCTATTGTTTTTAATTGTTTTTATTTTATTTGTATATTTAACCTATTCTTGACTCTGTGGTTCTTGCACTTGTTTGGGGAACAGGATTTCATTATTTTTATCTACATTTCTGCCTGAGAAATGACACCCTGATATAGTTCTGTGATCTGTGAAACAGTTCTGTTAATCACTGAGGCATTGTGTGTTTGTGTTCTTTTTCTTTAGAATTTTCAAATAAACTTGATGTGTTTTATGATTAATAGTGATGTTGTGCTTGTACTATTTTGGACACACTGTCCTCAGGCTCCAGCTTTATGTTGTATGTTGATCGTATTAAAACAAAGAAAACAATCTGAAGTTGTTGTTTTTAAGTTATATATACCATGATTTTTCCGGTCCGGCCCACTTGGGAATAGATTTTCCTCCATGTGGCCCCTGAGCTAAAATGAGTTTGACACCCCTGGTTTACAGTGTTTCTCAACCTCTGGTCTGTGGGCTTGCACCGATTCCTGGGCTGTTGCTAACTGGTCCCTCGGATGGTTGGCTGAGCTGACACTGATTAAGTAAGTTCTCAAGCTTCCCATCTCTGGTACATGAAGGGCAATTAATCAAATGGCCAGCCGGACTATTTACATTGGGTTAGGGTTTGTGTTACATTGTGTTACATTTTTTAAACTTTAGTTTATTTGGTAAATATTTTCTTACCTCTTTCTTGAACGGCATTGTTGGTTAAGGGCTTGTAAGTAAGCATTTCATGGTAAGGTCTACACCTGTTGTATTCGGCGCATGTGATAAATAAAGTTTGATTTGATTTATGTTACACACCCTACACCGCATATTTGGTGGACCTTTTGGGGATGATGCAGTCCCCCCCCCCCCCCCCAGTGGCAGTTCGTGTGACTCTGCTATTTTGGTCAGAGCAGAGTTTGGAGACATTGTACTTTATAGTGCTGTATGCTGACATTCTCTACTCTTTTGCATGCTACTCA